CTCCTGCAGCCTCCCAGCTCTGTTCACCAGACCTGCTCACATACTCCAAAGGTTTTGCCCATCCTGCAGCCTGAAGAGGTATTTGGGAGCAGGGCTGTTAGTGCTTTGTACATACTGCCAGAGTGTCCCTAGGGGTTTGCATAGTATTTATTGGTTCATATACACAAGGCTGATTGCTGTACAGTTTACACTTTCAACACAAGTAACGAGCTCAGTGGTCAGACCAGAGCCCTGCCTTGGCGGGAGACACTGCACCTGCCATCCTGCAGCCTGAAGAGGTATTTGGGAGCAGGGCTGTTAGTGCTTTGTACATACTGCCAGAGTGTCCCTAGGGGTTTGCATAGTATTTATTGGTTCATATACACAAGGCTGATTGCTGTACAGTTTACACTTTCAACACAAGTAACGAGCTCAGTGGTCAGACCAGAGCCCTGCCTTGGCGGGAGACACTGCACCTGCCAGGGTGCCCAGGGCAGTTGTGCTCCCTGCAACCCTCCTCTCACACCCCCTAGCAACTGCCGCCCTCCCCATAACCCAGCACTCACAGAGGGATGAGAAGAAGTCCAGCAGAGGCAGCACAGGCGATGTCAAGCCCCTCTCCTTCTGTGGTGAGCAGCACTGTGCTGCCCCAGCTTCCCTCTGGCAGCCGGAGCACGGGGATGCATTTACACATGCGAACACGCAAGGGTAGAGTCTCCTTCGCTCTCATTCTCTGCCAGTCCCGCTCTTGCCTCCCAGAGGAGCTGAGAGGATGCCCCTGGTTCGTGCTGCTGTCTCTGGGCTCCTGGCAGCAGCGGGGCAGGGCCAGAGGCCCCTCTGTCAGTTTTAAGTACTGTAGCTCATGCGTCTTGCAATCAGTCAGTCATGCGGATAGGACGGTAAGTATGTCTCATACGGAAATCATGCCATTAGCCTATAGAAACATGTACAGCCAGCCCTGCTCCCCTCCACTCTCTGCTTTCCTCTCCTCTCTTCTCAAGTATGTGTCAGAACATGTGTGGAATTCAGTGGTTTGGTGTTGAGGTGAGATCCTGGAGAGACACAGAGAGAGACAGAGCTGGGATTACCAGGCATTCATGGTGGCACAGCCAGGAGAAAGGGTGGGGGCAGCCGGGTACATGGTAGTCCCAGCCCCTTCTGCACCCTGTGCTTGTCCCACATGCACCCATCCTGTCCAGCTACCACAAGACAAGTTTTGGGGGGTGTCAGAGAGACAGCAACAGAGCACCAGTAAGTGCCCTTCCTGGAACCAGTGGCAATGGCATAGATTGCATTGGTGGTGCTGTCCCAGCTGTAGAGAGCAGCAACAAGCAGGAGCAGAGCTGCATCAAAGGCAGCATGGCACCGGGAAGGAGCTGGGAGGGCTGCTGTAGGCTCTGGGGTAGATGAGGCCAGCCCTGAGCCCCCAGCCCCAACTAGGGTGACCGACTGCACCTCACTCTCCCAGCACTGGGGAAGACCCCATGCATCCCTAATGCACACTCTGGGGTACTTTCACATGCTATGGAAAACAGCAAGAGCAAAGCAGCAGGACCACTGCCCCAAAGAGGGGCAGACCCCCTGTCTGGGCTGTGGGGCGAGCACTAGGTGTGGGGACACCACAAATGTGTGTCCACAAGCACAAACCTCTTCTGTCATGCACCCACTAGCACAGAGCCCACTAACACAACGGAGAGAGGATGGAGGGGGAGGACAGACAGACAGACACAGCCATGCACGTACAGGCCAGAGGACTGACCGCCCCTGCTTGGCAGCCTCCTCCCTGGCTCAGGCAGTGCCTAGCAGCTGGTGAGCATGCGTGAGGCACCCAAGTGCTGCACTGCCAGCCCCGCAGCGAGTGTGCAGAGAACAGTGATGCAGCTGGGTCCACGTGCTGTGCCAAGCACCCTGCCTTGGGCCTGGTCTGTGCAGGGAATGCACAAGACTCAAGTGATGATCCAGAGCTCATGCTGGGGATCAATGGAACAAATGTCCTGGGCCAAAGACAGGTCCCCTGCCCTTGACCCCTACAAGCATCATGTTCCTGCATCCCATCACTCCTGCATCCCTGCTGCGCTGATGTCCACCAGCAGCACCCTGCCATGGCCTGCACTCCCTTTCCTGGCCACGGAAGCTTTGGCAGACCTCACTGCCACAATGTGGGGCGGGCAGGGGCAGCCGCTCCCTCTCCCTCTGCTGCGAGCAGAGGCAGCAGACTATGACCAGCAGAACTGTGACACCCCTCACCTGGCTCACAGCTCTGCCAGGGCAAGGGGAGGCAGGGGCACCAGGCTCCAAGGGCTGGTCACATCTGCCACAAAGCTGCATAGTTAGTACTCGTGCATGAAAGGGACAGCTCTGCTCAGACCCACACCAATGCTATTGGCTCCCTGGAGTGGTTTTGGACAAAGATCATTCCTCTGCTGCAGCCCAGCATCATCAGAAGTAACAGCCCCGTTTGCCCCGTCACTGGGACCGTTAGCCCAGGTACCCAGATGCTGTGAGTGCAGCAGCAGCCCCTGGCACTGTGGCCACAGCGTGGTGCTGAGCACAGAGGCTGACACAGGGCCAGAGGCT